GGGCACAGCAACTGTATCACAGACTAGAATGGTAAAATTAAATCACTTTACAGTACACATGTGTGCGCTGTTCGCGACTGCATATTATGATGTAATCAGTCTGTTCCTGGTATAAGGAAAGGGCTCACTAGTGTCTCCATGGCAACAGGCAGGAGGCAATAGAAGTATGTGTCTTTGTGTGTGTGTGTGTTTGATGTGGGTTTAAAGGGGGATACACATAGAATTCCACATTCTCCTCTACTGAGCTATAACCCTAAATAAGGCTTTACTTGATGCTGATGCACGTCACACAGGACCGTGTCAGTCCTCTGACTGATGCCCGGCCCTTCTGTGGTGGTTCCTCAGGTCTTCTGCACACTACATGCTGGAAGAAGCTACGTCCCTATGACTGTGGAAAGATTTAGGCTGGCAGATATTGTCATTTAAGATCTGCATGAGAGGACTAAACACAGGCTAAAGACGGCTTGGAGCCTATACTGTCAACTCCTTTCACTTTATTAAATAAACAAGAGCTAATTTCAAGCTGCATTCCTTCTGACCCCGAAATAAATCCGTGTTTATCCATCAAGTGGTGGTGGAGGTCTTGCTCTGCTCACACATGCACACAGATGTCAGTGGTGTATTTATGGCACTGTGCAAGATGAACATGAAGAACACCCTTTGATACCCCTTCAGAGGAAATCGGCATTGCAGTTTCAGTGCAATCTGTTACTGGAGGTGTAGGGTGGCCACAAGAAAGGCTCAACCTGCAGAATCTGAGGAAAAATTAGTAGATGCAAAGCAATCGCTTATCAAATTAACATCCCATCAGCCTGCTGCCTGTGCTCGCAGTGAGACCTCTCAATTAATGACTAAATCAGTATTCCAGCCAACCGATTTATTACCTCTTGATTGCTTCCTACAAGTCGACCATAGCCTTAATCAATAAATCTTTAGGTTTCAACAGGGCATCACTCTCACATCTTCATAAACACACTGATAAGACCAAAGCGGAGATCTTGCTCTTGTGTAGATCTGAACAGCACCGCGTTTACCTTTGTGAACATGTGAGGATATATGGAAACTGTCAAATCGATGCCTGATATGTCACAGAAAACTTGGAGAGCTCAGATATTTCACATCGAGAACGAGCAGGGCAACCATTATTTTCTAAACATATGTAAGCCTTGCATCTGAGAGGCTAAATTAAAGTTAAGCTTATTTCCAGATATTTTATTCCTGTGCTCCAGAGTAGCTTTGCATGATTCACAGTTCAGAATAATCCTTATTTAAATTTTACTCTGCTTTTATGCAGCTCCTCAATTCATCCTGTGTCTGAAACAAGCTGTTTTACATGGTGTCTGTTTAAGGCCATCCTCCTTTTAAGCCAAGTTTGTTCTAACTGGGTTTCTCTTACAGATAAAAGCTTCGGTGGAGCTTTTGTGTAACAGCTTTAAGATTGCTCTTAATGATATGTACTCTGCCTGACATCATAAAGGCTGGAGTAGAACAAAAAAAAACAGTGTGCACACAGGTTATAGGACTAAAATGCACATACAGTTATCTCATGTTTTCAAACACAGACCATGTTTAAAATGAGTGTCTGCAACTGCAACATATATGAATATAAAAGATGAGATTTCCATGCAGGTTAACAGTGACTGCCTCTGCTGCTGTCGGCCAAATACAAAGGAACAGGACGGAGGATGTTCAGAGGGTTTGTGTGCCAGAAAAGGAAGCTAGGGACAGGGTGAGATGGAGGCAGATGATCCACTGTGGTGACCCCTAGAGGAAGCAGGCAGAAGAAGAAGCCTGCATGATGAAGCATCCTTGGGTACAATACTGAACTTTGTGCCAACTTCCTCGAGTCTCTCGCGCTGGCCTGCCTCTCTTATTTTCTCTCTTTGGCGTGTTGTGGTCACTTTGCCTCAGTGCAGCTCCTCCTGCCTCTCCGCCTTCCTTCAGGCACGCACCTGCCTGCAATCAGCTCTAATGACTCACATGCTGCTCGTCTATGACTAGGCTAACTACTTCAAGCTTGTTACAGCGTCGCATCAGCCAAGATACGCCCTTGATTCTGTTTGGTTTGTGTGTTTTATGTCTTGGATAACCTCTCTGTGTAACCTTTCTTGCTATGAAGCCCCACTCCCATGAGCCCTGTTTTGTGTGTGTGCGCACGCCCTGGGAAGCCTGTGTTGCCTGACTGCCACCGCTGGAACTCAAACGCCCCACCATCAGCTTTGTTACTACCTTTTCACTGTGCAAAAAAAACTTGTCAATAAATCTGTTGAACTCTTACAGTGCTTCACACCTGGGTGATCATTGTGTTAGCTCGTGACACTTTAATGCATCCGTGACAGAGAGTGCTTAAAAGTATAGAAAAAGGTACCTTGAGTAACTAACTACCAGCCCACTTACCAAAACAAGGAAAACATGAGATTAAATTCATTTCCTCACTTCCTTCCTTCCACAAGTGTTGATGAGATATTATTGAGACCAACAACAATTCAATAACACATTTACCACCACATCAATCATATGGAAAGAATGACTGTGTGTGCACGCTGGCTGTGTGTGTGTGTCTGAGTACATGCTTTTAAAATGGGCTTTCCTGGAAATGCTGCCAGAGAGCAACGACTTCATTTCCCATCACTTACTCACTGTAATGTGAGTTGTAAAATGTCTAACATCTGATTATTTTCAGAGGTAAAATGCATATCGGCTCCTTCTTCCTCGTTTCAATTGAATTATTTACATCTTTCTCTCTCTCACACACACATATTTCTGAGGGTTACTGGAAGTCAGTTATTACTTTATAGACCCATCAGTAATCACACTTGTATTTGAATATGCAGTCTATGTGCCCACTCATGAACAATGTTAGCCTCGATCTCTCTCATGAGATACAGTACTTGCTTTTTTGAGTGTTTACTCTTTGTTGGCTCCAGGTTGATATTGAGAGCATACACTCACCTCCTCCAAACAAGCTTACGGTATAAAGTTTCCTCTTTTAAGCTCTACTGCTTAGTGCGACTAATGAGAAGCCTCTGTTTAAATTAGACAACCCTGTAGACCTTGCCTTTCGGAGTTACACTTTATTACGACATGCGGTGTCTTTTCAAAGTGTTGTGAATGAACCCGATGGCTCAAATGTAACTTCTAGTTATTTTTAAATCTATAAAACAAACAGTGGTTACTACGTCTAAGTGTCGGAAATGAACCTTAGAGCATGTGCAGTTATCTGTTCTCAGTGATACACATTCTTTACCTTCAATCATTATCATTGCATTTACGCACAGTCCTGCTCCCGTTCGCTTGATTGGTTTTATTGACCTCTTGCAAAAACGAGCTAACAGTGCACTGTTTTCCTGCATGGGCATGTTTACACAAAACTGTTAACAGATACACTGTTACAGCTACATGTAAATGACACAGGTGAAATTCATGGTTAACCTCAAGTCATTATTAAAATAATAATCATTATTACCAAAGTAAATATTCAGTAAATGAATCAATAGATACAAAAATAAAAATAAAAGAAAAAAAGGGATGATGTTGATATCTTCTATCACAGTTTTCAGTTTGTCTCCTAGTTTGGAGGTTAAGACTTGGTAATAAAAACATAAAGAAGTTAATCTATGAGATTCTCACATGTGAGAGAATTATATAATGAAACAACAACATACTGCAAGTGCCAATTACTAACATCTGAAAAGGCTGTATGTGGGCATGGATACGGAAACGCAAAAGAAAAAAGTGTGCAGTCAAACTCCTGCACATTGCTGCAACAGTAACACCTTCAGTTTTAGGGTTTTGGTGTTTTGGCTCGTTGCTATGGTATCACATATGGAACAGTACCTTTAGTATTGTATAAGACATCATATAATATGTATGCATAATATATTATATTTTAAGTTTTTTAAGTATTTAATATAATTGTGTGTTATAAAATTTCTGTACATTATGAAATAATTTTCGACACAAAGTGGGTAAACAAGAAGGGATGAGTTGTGTCTTTGCTCAAAGCGACAGGGCAGGGATGACAAACTCATTTTACACGGTGTTTAACTAATTAAAACTCAGCTTTCTGTCAGTGTAAAGAAGTTTAATTTCACATTTAAACCCTGATATATTTTAATATAAGAAAAAAGTGTAATTTCAACAGTGCATCTCAGTTCTTTTTGCTTAATAGAGAAATACTGCTGTAGTAAATAAAAGAAGTCTGTGAGGATGACTCTTTGAGCTTAAATTGTAAGAAATAAATGCAAATTGCAAAATGTAAAGAAACCTTATTAGTGTTATTGTGAATCTGCTGTGAAAATCAGAATTTTCTACAGCAGATAGTGACAAACGGGAACTTTCTGTCATTTCATTGGTCGTGTATTTCTATTTTAGTGTAGTATGAATGGGAACGGGGGAGGTCTTCATGAGGAGAAAAAGCTGCAAACCTTACGAAAATACAATTAGATGTCCAAAAATTATATCGTGATTCACATTGTCCAAAGAATTGTGCGATTCTGGCCCTCAGGTCTTATATTTGAAACCTTGCTTCATGATTAATGCTTATTAATACTTTATATATACATCAAATTATATTTTACTCTATATAACTATATTATATAGGCCCACATACGTGGACGTATAAGCGAATTAGACCCCCAACAATCCCGAACAAGCTTCAATATCAACACTCAGTCCTCTAATTAATCCGTTTGACTTCCCCTAAATTAGGAACGGTCAGTTTGACAGGACTAGCCCTTTAAACGATTCCGCTAAAGAAGGGAACAGTCCATTTCAGTAAAAAAGGGGGTACTCCGTCACTGCCTCGTGGTTTTTATACATTTTAACACCAGAAACACATCCTGAGAAAAGACAGAGGGCTTATATTTTTGTAATAATCATGAACACACATTTAATATCACACTGAAAAACAACATTTAGTCCTTTCGCGTCTCAACAGTAAAACCATTGTCCACCCCTTCGGGGACGCATCTATTTTTAGCATCAGCTGTTGCAATACAAAGATTAGCTACTCGGCGTATTGTTTCGTAGATGTGGGCAGTTCACTCCCGTCTGAGGCGAAAGGGCGGCGGTGGTTTGAAGTCGAGCTGGAGGATGAGGAGAAACATGTCGGTGTGAGGACACGTCGCCGTTGCGCCAGAGGGAAGCTCGTTGTAGGTGAGTGTGAGACACTAGAGGTCGTGAATGCGGGCGTCGGTGTTCCCGCGGGTGAAATCTGCCGTTAACGCGAAAGCCAACAACTTACTGTAGCCTAGCTAACAGCCACGGGATTACTTCGAGTAATGACAGCACGGCAGGCGGTCTGCGGGGATTATCTTGCTGTAAATGAGCGTACGACCTACCGCATCACATTTGCGGAATTTCCTTTTTCAGTGCAAACTTGAAGAAAAGAATGAAGCAGCCAAAATCCGTTATTCAGGGGCGGTTACTGTCGGCGTCCTCACACTCAGGCAGGCCCTGGCTCCGTGTGTCAGACGTTTCCAGCAGGGAAGAGTCATAAACACAGTGTTTGCCTTTTCTCTTACTCTATTTCTTTATTTCCAGCAGCTGTGTATACACACACACACACAGTGGTGTCCGGCTGTGAGGCAGAAATTGTGTGCAGATTTAACCGCTGGACAGAGAGAACAGAGGGATTCTTCATACATCAAATCATAGGATGAGATCATTCAGAAGCACCAGTCAGCCTGCAGACACACACACACACACACACACACACCACTATTAATAGCAAAGTGAAATCATCAGTTCATTAGGCTGTCTGGAGACAGATCCCTCTTTATCTTTTCATCAGAACTTCAGAGAAAGGCCAAACCCTTCTCCATCTCCCCCTGCTCCTCACGAGGATGGTGATGGTGGGCACAGTGCTGGATGCTTTTCTGACTTTTTCTAAACAGTTTTGTGACATTTCATGCAGGTAAATTACATTCAGATGGCTGCAGACTAGAGTGAGCGGGTGTCCAGCTTTATGTGGGACTACACAGGCTTTATCCTCTGTCCCCGTCATGTACTGAGATGGTATCCTTCAGGCTTGATGAGGTCCAGCAGTGATTCCCAAATGATTGCAACTGCACAAAGTGCATGAAAGGCCATAATGAGGATGAAGCTGGTCACTTGACTCCGTAGACAAAACTCAGACCAAAATCAGCCACACGCACACACAACTGTCAGGTCAGACTTCTGCTTGAGGGTTTCATTTACTGGGCTGAGTGAACTGATGCAAGCTAAAGAGTCAGAGCTCTCTGAGAGCAACTTTGTGTCCTGTGACCCAACATAAGATGTGGACCACAGGGAGTAAGAGAGAGTGTGTGTGAAAGTGCAGGTTATATGCTACTGGAGCTTACTGCAAGACCAAGTCATCGTAGGCTGTGCGCTCAAAAGTGCCCTCGGCCGACGAGACGAAATTGTCATGGATGTCGTTGCAGTTGTTTTTTGGTGTCTCTTCAGCATAAAGTTTGAAAGTCACTTAGGTCAGAATTCAGAAGGTTGAACTATGCTCAACAGTTGGTTGTATTTTATTTACTTTCAACTAAAATCAAATGAAAAGAAAATGCTGAAAATGCAATAACTATAACATCAGCTGACATCAGCTAACATCAGCCACCTCCTGCCTGATCCTTTGTCGTTAAATTCAGTGTTCGAAATAAGCGCGTTCAGGTGCTTCTGCAACATATTCAAAGTTTAGGATGCGTTGATCTATCACAAACCAAGCAGCCGTTTAAAGGAGATCTGAGACAGAAACTACAAGTTTCTCCATTGTTTCTCTAAGGATAAAAATACACAGTGCTGTTTTCTGTGTGTGGCCACCAAGTTGTAAAGAACAGAGAGAGAGAGAGAGACTGTAAAAGTGAGGAGGCGGTGTGCATGTACAGTATCACCATCACAGGCAGAACAGTAGCTTCCACAAAAAAAAGCAAACTAGGATTTATTCCTGAAATGACAGACAATCGTGTGTGTGTGTGTGTGTGTGTGTCTGTGTGTGTGTGTCAAGTCCAAATACTTCATTCCATGTCAGTGGATTTAAAAAGATTAATAAAATTGAGTGACAAAGAATGAAAAAGTACTTGGAAGTGAACAAAACCTTTGGAAAGTAACTTGTTTTGTCTGTATTTTTGTTTGTGGATGTTTTATTATTTCACAATATCGAGTCTTGCAGGAAAAGCACGCCTCTGGAGATGTGCTGATTTATGGATGCACCTGTACTGAAGCGCAGAGATTACCACACACTTTAAGTCGTCTTGAGATAGAAGAAATGGGAGCTACACGAGTGTAAAAACAAGCCCGAGTTTCTCTTTATGCTCATGATTTAATGGAAGAATTGCACGATTAAAATAAAAATCACAATTTTATGCAGTTTATTGAGGCTGTAATCTGCATTATTTGCAGATTATCCATCATTTTTACTATGTGAGGTATGCAAATAAGGTATTACTGGTAAATGGGGGATGTAATGACTCTTCCCAAACCAGTTTAGTTCCTACCTGGGCCACACTTCCCCAGTCTTATTTGAAACACTTCCCTGCTCTGTCATATGATTTCAAAACCTCAAGAAGGTGATGTTGAAAACACTCGTGAGGCTGCACAACAGGACTTAACCAACTGATGGGCGGTGACATTATAGTCACAGATACTCTCATTTTATATTGACTAGCAAGCAAATTGACAAATTTCATCACAAAGCACAGACAACGTTATGTTTAATGTGTTTCTGAGATCGCCCTTCTATTTCATGAGCTGTATGCAGTGTAGTGACCACTAAAACTGTTGCGTGATCAAATATTAAAAAAAACCAAACAAACTTTAAAAGCATTTTGAAAAGTTCAGCTTTCTTCTAATACAAAGACACACTGCAAACATCCACATTTAAAGCTGCTCCCTGACAGCAGTTTGCATGCTCTGTTATGGTAACACCAAGCCGCCGTGCCCCGGAGCTGCTTTGATTTATGACAGGAGTATGTCTCTGTACTGGGAGTGACTGACTCTGGATCAAACTGACACACATTGTTGAAAATTTATGGATTATTTTGTTTTTTCAGGCTGCACATCATCTGTTTATGCAGTTTAGGTTTAAATAGGGTCACCAACAATGCTGTGAGACCAGAGGCTGCTAAGTGGTTGTGACATGCAGTCATGTGATTAGTCATTTAGCGAGCTGTTTGCACTTTGTCCTCTCAGCCGTGGGGTGTTGGAGATCTGAGCGTGAAACGTGTTCCTGGAGGAAATGCGTCGAAGGCGGGAGACTTTGATTGATGTGTTCCTGTTGGAGGCAGTCGTACAGTGAAACACCGACTGCCAGAATGAGTTTAAAGCATCTGACTGTGAAGTGTAATTATCAAAGCCTGCTGCTGCTTAAATAATCATTACTTTGAAGCAGTCTCAGCTGTGCAATAAGACGCTGGCATCTACGATAGCATCTTACTCCACACGGAGGCTGCACGTTCTGTTTCTGTGCAGCTTTTGCTGCGTCTGCACGAGTCCAGCGTTTTGGAAAAGGTTCTTCTGGAAATGGTGCTGAGCCAGTTTTAGCTTGAAAACAGAGCTTGTTTTTAGTGTTGATGGGCAGAGACAGTCTTTTGAAAACCATTACTCATGTGCTTCCTGGCTGGATGGTGTCAGTCACTACATATCCTTCCCAGCATCCCCACACCCCTTACACGACCCTTTCCAGAAAAGTCCTGTACTGCAACTACTCCCACCCAGTCTGTCTCACACAAACATTTTAAAGTGCCCAGTGTACATGACTGGCTGTGTGATTATTCTGCAGTCACCCCCTTAAATGCTTCTCGCCTCCCCCTGGCCCCCCACCCAGGGGGATCAGTTCACTGGTGGGAACGTAACCTGTGAGCTGACCTCAGATCGCTGTTCTCCTCCAGCTATAACATGGCTTTAACTTCACTTTTCTCTCATCTTCATTTCTGCTCTGTTCGTTCTGCCTTCGAGCTGCTTGGTTGGTAAAATACACGGTGGTGAGGTAACACACCGCTGTGTGTTTTACCAACCAAGCAGCTCGCTCGGCCATTAAAGGCTCGAGCCACAGATATGTCCTGAACCAGTCGGCGTGATGCTTGTCCTTGGACTGTGGCGTTACCTTAATAATGTTAGCGTTTCCTGTTTGAGGATTAACACTGTTAACATGAGACTCACTGGCTGTTTGCACTTGTTTTTTTTTTTTTTTGCAGCGTGATGTTTATTATTTTGTCCCTGAGCAGGTTTGTGTATTTAGATTTTTGGCTAGATGACAGGACTGTCACACATTATAAATGGTGGGAGCTGTGCAGTGCCTTCTCTCCCAGACTGAACAGGTGAGATCCACACTGCTGTTATTTTAAGCCGACTGATTATAGACTGTAATTTCTAATGAGAGGTAGTGGCATTCTCAGCTATTAGCTGTTAGTTTTAAGGGTTTAAAAAAAATCTTTTTTTTTAAATATATAAAATATATTCTTTCTTTAACGCACAGTTATTTATGCACTGCTTTATTCTCTGCTGCTCTGATCAGCTGGTTGGCGTCTTTATGGCTTTCCAAACATGCACGATTGAAGGAAGTTTTTCCCAGCTTATATTAAAAAAAGAAAAAATATTGTTTTTATATAACTGGCTGTTATAAACTGTGTTGCGATTAGATCATTACATGGTTAATATGGGTCGGGCACTGATGTCACCCCGTTGGGGACCGTTATCTGTGGATGGATTCAGTGGCGGGCAGTTCTATGGTGAATTATTGCTTTTCCTGCTTTTTGAACCCTGTTTCTCAACAAAAAGTTAGTTTCAACATAAAGAATTTTTATTCTTGATCAACTTCAGCAAAATTTAAATTTTCGAAATGGATAAGTTAAAACATTAAAGTGGAATCTGTGTGGACTTTATCACGTGTTTAACTTGGTGAATTATGGTTTAACACTTGATCTGATTGATGAGTGTTGATATCAGCAGTACAGTACAGACCGGGGCGTGCACTGCTGTGTTCCTTCTGTGAGTTATGGAGCTGCTTTGTTCCCACGTGAAGAGGGAAATCCCTTGATCCTTTCCCAACAGCAACTAGCCACGTCTCGAGCCCAGGGAGACTTTCTGCGAGGGCAGAATATGAGGCTAAAAACACACCAGCTTCATCCATTTTCTGTGTAAATGCACACACCAGCAGAATGTAAGCAGATGTGCTGCAGATTTACTGGCTGTGTGAGGGATGAGGGGGGAAAACAGCATTTTATGGTCAGCTGGGGCTGCCGAGTTCAGTGAAGACATGAGCGAGTGCTCCTGTTTGTGTCCCACAGGGTATTTACTGAAATCATAGTTGTTGTGATTTAATTTTGTGGTTTTTGGACTTGTATAATGGGAATTACACATGAGTCAAACTGTAGTTGTAACGTGCAGTTAGGTGTACTTTTAACAACTTGGAATGAATGTGGGAGGAAATGCTTTTAGAACAAGTGAGAAATCAAAGGTGTCTTATTTTGAAAGAATCTATTAAAGGAGTGAATGACTTTCTCATGTAGCCCAGTGGGAAACTGACATGAGTTTGGGTTAGAGTTGGATTGTTAAACCTTAAACGCTGCCTTCTAGGATTTCTTTAGGATTATAAACCATGACTGCTTTCTTACCATAATTCCTCCCCTAAAATCATAATGTTATAAATACAACAGGGATGGTTTTCCACAGAGGAATGCATGTGTGATCTGAGCACAACTTTTATGTTTCTTCTTTGTTACTTAATACGAGTAGGCAGTAAACCAGCTATCTTACTGAGACAGTCTCTCATCCTGAACTCCTCCTGCTCTGCAGCTCTGAGGACAAAACTGGTTTTGAGGGTAGATGATGGAGGACTGTCGCAACAACAGCTCGACCAGTGAGCGAGCTGCTCAGAAATACACAAGAATAGAGAGTAGAAGGGCCTTGCATAGCTGATTGGAAAACATGTGAACACTTAACTTAGCAGTCGAAGATGATGTTCTCACAGACAGACAAATCTATATTTAAAAAAACAAACAAACAAACCCTTTGATGCTAATGCTTCCCGGCCATATATTATATTATATTTTGCTACAGTTGGCTAGTTAGCATCTCTGTCCTGCAGCTGATGCCAGGTTTGAGTAAAACACAAGTACCGTCTGTTTAAAGTGAAGTGATAACTCAGAAGTGTCAGCAGATACTGTTTTGGGTGGTTTGTAACACGTTGTCCTTATTTTACAAATTTAACACACTTCTGTTGAACACATCAAACATTTTAGTCCTCATGTTATCACTCTTTTTCTCAATGCATGTTATTGTCCAAAAGTCAGGCGAAGGTTAAGGGTTAATGGTCTCTTTTGTGCTGGGGTTAAGTGGTTTGGCTAGTTTGTAATAAACAGTGGTTTCTGTTGTCACCTGTCATTCTGTTTTTCTAAGACACAGATGCAGTTGTAGGGAGATGCCACCAAACAGTCTAAGAGTGAAATCAAGATGAACCTGATAAGGTTCATCTTGGTTTAGATGTTTAGAGGTTTAGATGTGAGTTGGTTTCATCGAGAACACCAAATGTATGACTGGTGTAAAAACCACAGCTGTAATGTGTGCTGTGGTTTCAGAGTGCTTCATGAGGTTATTTGTTTTTCTTCAGTCATAGATGGCTTTTAAAATGGAATAGACACCTATTTTGTGGCTTTGACAGCCATCCAGACATCTAAACGACTAAAGAGTTTATTTTTATTTTTTTGTTTTAACATCAGGAATTTGACTCAAATCTTTTTGCTTAACCTGGCTTGGCATTGCAAAGGAAGGAAACATCTTCCTTCCCTCCATTGTGCTGCAGGAAAGGATGGACTTTAGCCAGCTGACAGCTGTTTCCTGCACGATGGAGGAGGAATGGGTGTGTGGGTGGTAGGAGTGTTGATGCTAGTGGGTGAATGTTTCTCTTTTTTTATGCTTTTATCTCTTGCTGCAGTTTAATTAAAACTGTAAATCTGAAATCTGCTGCAATGTGAAAGTCTGGTTTAAATTTTATGTGTTATATGTATTTGGATGGCTTTGGGTGCATGTTTTAATATCTTTGCAATAAAATTTCATATACTTAATGTTACCAATAAAATGACCTTGGAGCAAATTTCTCTTTATGAACATTGGAGCTGTTTCATTTCTAGCCAAAGAGAGAGTCTGGAATGATATCAGAATAATAAGAACCATTTGGATAATTTCTTTTATTTATGTTGAGGAAAGCTCACGCCCCCAAACTCCTCCAAAAAGCATAATATTTGTTGTTGTTGTTGTTGTTGTTTTTTTTTTTTAAAAGGTACATCCCATTTAAAATTGTTCATTTTTAAAAAAAAATTTGGTATCTACAGATTAGCAGTGCTGGTATCATCAAATCAGCTTTTATAACATCAGCAGACACACTTTTTTTTTTTTTCCCCTGTGGAAAAATCCTTTAAGTTTGAAGCTGTGTGGGGATTTTCCTGCACATGCCTCATGTTTCAACATTCTAATGAGATTCATATCTGGGTCTTTTTTTGCTTTTGAGCCATTCCAGTGTGGATTTGCCAGCGTGCTTAGGATCATTAGCCTGTTACAAGGTCTACTTGGAGTTCAACTTCAGCTTTGATACTCATGGCCTCAAATTTTCCTCAGATGCTTCCCAATACAAAAAATTTAATAGTTGAGTCAATGACTGAGAGCTGTCCAGAGGCAGCAAAACAATCCAGAACAATAAGATTTTCCATCGTCATGCTTCAGTTACTGGCAAAACGACTCTCTCTGATTGTTCTGTTTCAAAAGGCCTGCTCTTTGTACCCTCAGGATCAAACTGCAGATTTACTCCAACGCTCTTTCTGGACAGAAAGGCCTTTTCCTGACATGAATCCCAGGCAGGTTATCTTCATGCACACTCTTAAAAGATTGCAGATGCTTTTTCTTTATAAGCAGCAGTTGGAAGAGCGACCTGTAGAGCCTGTGATGAAATTCTGGGGCTCCATGGTGTGGTGGTTATTTGTCTGACATGTGAAAGATTCTAGGTTTGGGAGGGGATGACGCACAAACCTGGTCTCACGGGCGTTGGTCACTCCTAGTAATGGTTCCAAGCACAGGTAAATGGGAGGGTTCGATTAGGAAGGGCACGTAGAGGAAAATGCAATGCAAATTTATTAAAGCTCACCCGTCCTGAGCATCTGCCTCTGTCACACCAACCCTGTGCATGTCCTCCTTCATTACATCCATGAAGCTTCTCTGTGCTCTTCATCTTTTCCTCCTCTAACTTTGTCCTCAAACTGCTCGAGCCAAGCGGTCCCTCTGATCGACTTGTTTCTGGTCACCCCAGATTTATCACACACATCTCCAAGCTTACGATGGCTCTGGGTTGGACTGAAGGTTGGCAGCGTCTGGGCTGACTGTGGCTGTAATTTGGGTGTTGTGAATGATGGGGCAAAGTTGGTTCCAGCCTGTGCAGATCAAATTCCATGAAGGAAGTGTGGTGCGATTATTTGTCTGCTCAGATTATTT